GTGCTCCTCCTTTTTCCGTTTTCCCTATTGATTATTATTTTACACTAGTGTAACTATAAGCGCTACCTATCACCACGAAGGCACGAATCTTCCTGGATTTTTTTTTTGTTTATTTATTTAAAAAACATCGTTCTCTATTTTTCTTCATCAATAGTATTATCATATTTTTCACCGTGCGATTAACTGAACATGACATGCTTTGCGTTGTAACTTGTACGTATACGAACCATTTTCAAAATCTTCTTTTTAATTTATCAGGCTAACAGAAATTCTTCCGCCATATTAAACTATTTGTAACGCCGCAAAACTTCTTTGGGGATTGGCAGCTTTTAACATGTCTTGCGTATGCTTTGTAAGGGGGGGTAAAGGTAATTGTCATGGTTGATGGTTTTAAACAGTATATGCTGTTAAAATAAAAAGAAACAATAGTACATGCTTCAGTTCTTTTGTACAGAAACCAATTTGTTGATTAATTAATTATTTAGTTCAACCCAAAAAAATAGTAGTCTACAGTTTCACTATTAGAAAATATAAAAGTTATATATGTAGTGTGCTTTTTTAGGTGTGTAATGGCAGTAATGCGTAGGAACTAGGAAAGGAGCATGAATCATAGGAAGGTATATAATTAGGAAGAAACAAATAATTTACAGAGGAAGAAAAGGAAAATGTATTCCGACATTGAGTGACGGCAATGCACGTGAGGTTCACGTGGCCTTCAAATGGGGACGAGGATAAAATTCAACTTATCTACTGTACTTTTTCGTTGCAGGTAAAAATAATGATAATAATAATTAGGGATCAAAGTCTCAAAATGTTTCACGGAACTCTGTATAACAGAAAACGACCTCAAGGTAAGAGATTAAAGATGTTAGTTAGGAAAAGTGGATTATTTGATCATATATAAAAGATTGCATCTGTTATATTAATTTATAACTAACCATGTCGTCTTAAAAAATTTGAATACAGGTTTATATATCAAATTTTGTTCGGGTAATTTAAGTGTAATTTTCATCATCCAATCAAAAGATGAAACCGATAAAAGTTTTTTTTGCTGTATGTTCCCCCCCAAGGCCCCAACCCATAGCTTTTCTCACAATTGGAGGAAGACACGTCATACAACTCGCGCACATTTGTTAAATTCTTTTTTCCATGCGTACAAATATATATTTGTATATAATTATATAAATGGTGGTGCACTGTCGGGCCATCATTTTGTCTCTTATAAGTTATAACGTCGCATTCTCAAATCTGATGCACTTATATATACTGTAGATTTAAGTCTCAGCTCGAACGTGTTTCTAGATGAAAGATAAATTGTCTCGTGAAATAACAGCTTTAGTTTATATGGGGAAGCACATGTACATAATAATATTGTATGGATTACAGACGGGATAAGATAAGTATAACCGGAATATTGCAACAAAGGGATTTAAATCTCATTTATTTGAAGATTAAATAATATGTGGAGTAGACTAAAATTTTGGTTTATTGCACAAAATAAATAATATTAAAAATGTAGAATAAGTAAAAGATAGATAGATACATGAGGAAGGAAGGAAAGTGGTGACGGAGACAAGTTCCACGCAAGTGAATGAGTGATTGAAAGTTAAGGAGGTCACATGGGTATGCTTTCCAATTGGGTTACGTGTCGTCTCCCTCGTACTCCTTTCCCTTTGGACCACACTTGTCCTTCTGCCACGTGTCCTATCACCTTCCCTCCTTCTCCGGGCCTCTCTCTCCTTCCCTCAGATTCCATCTTTGACTTTCCGTTTGCAGCATTTTTGTTTTTTATTTTGGTCAATTTTAAATTTAGATTGGTTAGGGATATTAATCAGTACCACATTTTTTATTTTTTATTTTTTCATTCTTCCAATAGATTACAGGGCATATCCCAGTGTTTTGATTCTTCCATTGATCTAGTACAAATTAAATTGATTGGGTATACAAATGACTGTAAATAGTTTATGGAAGGATTTTTTTTTTGTTAAATATACATTTTGACTTTTAGATATTTCTAGCTCTGCCAACATCCGGTCCATTATAATAAAGTTTATCATCAACAAAAACAAGCAGTTACTTACATTTTCTTGATTATTTTCCTTTTTCTTATTTTTTGAGGATTGGGAATAATTTTGGTTCAACCAAAATATCTAAAGAGAACGTATGGTTGGTGAAAATTGTTCTCTTTCTTTTCCATTCGTTTGAATTCAAAAGTTTCCTTTTATATATACTACCGTCGTTTTGAAAAAAAAGCTGTCGATTTATAAGGAATACAAAAACGGTATGGAGAATACCTTTGAAGTTGAAACTAAGAAAATCCATGCCAGTCCACTCTTAGATATGTTTTATGTAACTATGTAAATTTTACTTTTTAACCAAAAAAAGGAAGACAATGTTAATCGTTAATCGCATTGAAAAACGACATGATTAATGCATTACTGTCACACCAATATTGAAGTCGATTGTACATTAAAACATAAGAAAAGCACCCAAAAAGGCAAACCAGCTTGAATTTGTATTCTACCAAGTCTTAACCAGTAAGTGACATATGTGGTATTATACAGACTTTAAATTGGTAGATGTGGATAATTTAAGTTAGTTTATACTTTAAACATATGGTCCACGATAAATAGATATGGATAAGATTTAAAGTCTGCGTAGGTTTTGTGTCTTAGTGTCTTAATATGGGATTGAAGACAAGAGTTGTAGTTAATGTGAGCTAGGGATTCAAACCCAATCACAAAGTTTGAAAGTAACGATCAAATCATACAGTCGTTAATTAGGGGTTATTCTTATATTCATAGATGTATACATATAAATATATAATAAAAAAGTGAATATATTGTATTATGAAATGTGAAAGAAGATGCGCATATGGACACGGGATAGATTCCTTTTCTCATATGCTTTTGAGTTGGGACTTACGATTTATTGTCTTTTAAATAAACTAATCCGAATTAATTATCACTAAAGCAAAATGATTAAAAGAAATAAATGTCATGTTTATCCCAACATTTGCCTCCCTTGTTTCCCGTACTTCTAACTCTCTCAGTACTTAGCGTAACAGATAGGTAATTGGGCAGAAAGATTCCATACGTTTTTGCTTTCTTTTAATTAATCTAAAGTTATTTATCAATTTATCAACTAATTCGTACTATAATTATCCTATTATCTTCTGATTGTGCTGGCGATGGATTAGCACTAATAAACTTAATCAGTAGAGTACTTTGAGGCAAGTACTGCAGGGATGGACAAGACAACTAATCCTAAACATCCAAAACATCCAAAATATGATATACAAGATTCGAGCTGTAGTTATATCCTTAATTATTTTTATCTAAATGGACTAAGTTCCATACATATGGGCTTTTCTATTTAAATCGTGATTCAAATACTTATATATAAACTCTTAAACATACATATACGGATTCATATAAAACTTATATGTGAAATAAATTTATTAATATTTAATTGTGACATGTGATACAGTGGACTAATAAGTAATAACAACGCCCGTTTGTTTGTTCTATGATTTTTTTATTTTATTTTTTTGACAACGTTTGTTCTAAGATTTTCTAAAATTAACTTTTGTATTAAATGGATCAAAGTTTTTTTTTTTTGCATGTATCAGGTATCAAATTTGAAGGATTTTAGATACATTAATTTTACCGGTAGGAGGATACATTTTAAATGGATCTCTAGTTTTTAGATACATCTAGATACGTTGATGTTATCATTAGTAAATACTAAAAGCAATGTGATACTTTAACGATCTCAAAGAAACACCAAGCTCGAATTGACGAATTGGATGAAAACAATCTGAATGCCAGTAATTAAACATCTTTTATGAGGAGTATCCAAATTTGACTAGAGTAACCCATAATTACGCCACGATTTAGGGGATTGTTAGTAATTAATTAGTCCTCAATGTAACT